CCCTATATTTTTGAAATATAAATAGAATTATGATGCTGCCAAAAAAAAGAATAAAATGGCATGACACCAATATTAATCTATGACCGTAGATTTTAGTTTGATTAATTTCTAATCATTGATGAAAAACATAAAGTAATATGAAATAAAAATAAACAAATTTATGTAGACTACATTGTAATGTATAAGAAATAAATGTATAATAACTTGAAATTATTCTTTGATATCACATGACATCTCTATAATAAGAGAGCTAAGATTTTGAATTTTATCCTCATATATTTGTTTTTGCTCATTTTCATTACATCACTCATTTCTATCACAAGTTAAATCATTTAACTTTTAATTAATTTGTGACTTAATACAATTTTATTTAAGACATTGTACATATATAATATTGGACACGTTAATATTTTTTTAAGGTCGTGTATTTTTAAAAAAAAATTATTAATTTTTTAAAAAATAATGGGTAAAAATTAATTTTAAATTATATAATTAAAGAAAAGAAAAGAAAAGAAAATTGTTATCTCATATATTTTATGGGCACTCAAATTTTATTTTTTATCGTGGTTTCAAGCACGGATTATGACTAATATAATATAAAAGAGTAAACTACATACGTAACCTTCAAACTATGACCTTTGTGTCAATTAAATTCTTGAATTTTTTTTTTTGGGGGGGGGGAGAGGAAAGAGGGGAGGGGAGACTTGAACCCTTGACCTCAAGAAAACAAAACCTTCACAAGATAAAAAGTATCATTGGACCAAAAACCCGTTAGTTATGTGTCAATTGATCTCTTAAATTCGCTAATTATAGCAATTGAGTCATCTTATTTGTATTCGTTGGATTTTTTAATGAAAAGTAACAAAGTGTGTCACTCACATGACACAAATAAGTTGTCGTCTGATCACATGAGTGTCACACTCTATCAATGTTTGTTAAAAAATTTGGAAACATAATTGATACAAAAAACCATAAGTTGAAGACTATATATTTATTTTACGGCGAAGGCTATGGCACTGCCGTCATTTTTTTTGGTACGGTACTGAAAAAAATATGTGGCCCTCAATTTTTCTCATTAAATATTAAAAAGTTACTCAGTAAAGGTGTGATAACTTTGCTAATAAAAGTTATACCATTTTTTCTAAAGATTGAAACTTCGACTGCCGTTTTTTTTTGGTACTTTTACTTTTACTAATTGTAACATAACCTTAAATAGTTATAACTTCATATCCAAAATTAGTAATTTTACCATAAATAGTTATAATATCACTTTTAAAGATTGTAATTTTATTTTTAATTGTTGTAACCTTACCTAATGAGTTTGTACCTCACATTTAAAGGTGATAATTTTATTTCAAGAGTAATAACTTTGTCTTTACAAGTAGTAGCATTACATTTAATAGTCATGCCAATTTTTTTTTTTATTTTTTTTGCGATTTCATTCAATTAGGATCGGTCATGACTATATGAGATCGATCTTAATGCATTTGATAGTCCAAAAATTGGGACCAAACTAAATTTATGGTAGTTCCAATTAAATAGGATTGATCACGACTAACCGAACTTTTTTTTTTTTTTTGAACTGGTCCCGATCCTATATTTAGTTACATTAAATTGACATGTAATTTCATAAAATTAATTAAAATTTTATTAATTAATTTTAATCTTATGAATTTTAAATTAATGTTAATTTTATGATTTTTTTTTTCTGAACTGGTCCCGATCTTGTATTTTGTTACATTAAATTGACATGTAATTTTATGAAATTAATTTTTAATTTTATCCAACTAATACTCAATTCATCAAAAATAACATTAAATTGACCTTCAATTATATTAAATTAACATTCAAAATTATAAATTTAAAATTCATAAAATTAACATTAATTTAAAATTCTTAAAATTAAAATTAATTCATAAAATGTTAATTAACTTTATAAAATTACGTGTCAATTTAATATAATTAAATATAGGATCGGGATCAGTTCAGAAAAAAAAAAGTTTGGTTAGTCGTGATCGATCCAATTTAATTGGAACCACCAGAAATTTAGTTTTGTCCTAATTTTTGGACCATTGAATGCATTAAGATCGATATCATATAGTCATGATCGATTCTAATTAAGTGAAATATAAAAAAAATTTGGCATTAGGATCGTTCATAATTGAGTGGAATCACAAAAAAAATAAAAAAAATGGGCATTGAGATCGATCTTAATTAATCATAATCGATCATAACTATTAAATGTAATGTTACTACTTGCAAAGACAAAGTTATTCCTTTTAAGATAAAGTTATCATTTTTAAAGGTGAGATACAAATTCTTTAGGTAAGATTACAATAATTAAAAGTAAAATTACAATCTTTGAAAGTGAAGTTATAACTATTTATGATAAAATTACTATATTTGGATATGAAGTTATAATTATTTAAGTTTAAGCTATAATTAGTAAAGGTAAAAATACCACAAAAAAATGGCAACTAAAGTTACAATTTTTTAAAAAAATGGAACAACTTTTATTGATAAAATTATCACATCTTTAGTAAATAACCTTTTATTATTTAATGAGAAAAATTGAGGGCCACACATTTTTTTGGATACCGTACCCAAAAAAATGAGGGCGGTACCGTAGCCTTCCCCTTATTTTAATCAATATAAAACAACATTTGCGGTCCACTTGTATGCCTAGCACTATCTTTAGGTCCAGGACACGGCCAAGCTCTGACGAACAGAACAGACTTGGTACACAATCTTATCTCCACGTCATCAACCTGGCGATATTATCTACAACTTATTATTATCCACACCTTCTATTTCCCTGAAAACATTATGGTTGTATTTCACGAAACTTCTTAAAATAAAAAAATATTTTAAAATGAGCTTTTACCTTATGTATGCACCAGCCCCATATATATAGTTAGGGTTTAACTAAAGTACCCAAAAAAAATTCTTGTATCGCTTTATTTATGCTCCCTTTGATAACAAAGATAAAAAATAATAAGAATATATTTTCTATTCTTCCAAAAAAAAAAATAATAATAATAAAAAAGATACACTTTAAAAATAATTAATTTTTTTTAGTGCTGGGTAAGACAGAAAAAATATTTTTTTATTTTTTTTAAAAAAATACATATTTTATCATTGTATTTATATATAAAATTAATATATACATTAAAAAATATATAAATAAATAAAATATATTTTAACACAAATAATTAATTTTTACTTTACTTTCCTGCCAATTTTAGAAGATCTAATTTTGGTGAATTACACAAAAAAAATTCACCCATCTACTTTTTCGTCATTCCTATTTTTATTCCTTACAAAACATGACTCTCCAACTTTCCATCATTTTACCTTTTCATCCTTCTATTTTTCAGACGAACCAAACAGAATATTACTATTATTTTATATATTTTACCAACCCTTGCAGTGCACCCCCCTATAAAACTTACCACCTTTTAGATTTTTTTTTTCTTTTCTAGTGTTAATATCGAAAAATAAAGAAATAATACCATAATGTTTCCCATATATATATACAGACGGCTGGTTGTGTCCTGTCATGTATATATTAAAGAACTTGAAGACAAAAAATAAAAATGGTATTTTCTGCATCTCCTTAGATGAAGCAGACACATTTTTGAACCCATCCGAGGTCCACATAAGCAAAGAACTTGAAAAGATTCCGTTGACAACAAGAAGACAAATAAAAATAATTCTACGACCGAATCCTTATCTTTATGGCACAGCTTACCAAAGATAATGTGGATTTAACAACCGCCCTTTTTTCTCAAGCCAAGCATGGACAAATTGGCATGGATAGCATCACTCCCTCCTGCAATGAACCAAAATCTTGGGTGCTTATCAAACTTCAATGTCACCTTTCTCGGATATATCACCCCCTAAAATGTTTTTTCCTATGAGTGTATCAATAACCAGACCCCACATTTGATGACTGCTCTTCAGTGCCAACAGCAGGATCCGAACCTGGCTTGTCGGGTTTGACCTCATCATCAGCCAGAAGTTTTGTCTTGGATGAAAGCCTCCTTACTTCCTCTGTTGTGTAGATAAAAATTTTTCTCACCATGCTGCAGAATTCACTGCAAAAATATAGATTCAAAATTGAAAGTCATTATGGTAGGCGAGAATTGTTGGAATTGTAATGTTGGTGAACAATTTCCTACGAATTGCCTACATTGTGGTTTGGTCACTTGATGTGCTAGTGAGTGCCTTATTGGTCTTAGGCAGCAAATGACCTTAAGTACACTCAAAATGAATCTTCAAGGCAGATCATTTAGAGTTGAATGTAATAAAAATTGTCCACTTGAAAGGTTTAGAATCTACTGTGCAAGTCTGAGCTAAATGCAAGCAAGATAACAAACCAATTAAAATAGACTTAGTCATGTGAACTTAACTGCCATGGATCATCCCCCACCATCATCATGTCATCCTCATCGTCAGTGTAGACAACCTGCCATTTCTTTGTGGATCCACAGAGTTCGCCTTCAAGCTCAAACATCTCTTCTAGTTTTCTCAGCAGATCCTCGTACCCATCCAACCGTGTCAAATCCACTGCCCTCCCAACAGCAATACCTTGCATGTGAACCTGGATAAATTAAGAAAAATATTTCATCAAAATGATTTTATTTGGGCTGAAAAAAGTCAAATGCGGCTTATTGAGTTGCATAAGTACAACAGTAGATTTATATTCAATTTCAGTTCAAAATAAGGGACCAATGTCCTGTGCAATGGAAAAATGATTGGGCTAACTAACCTCTTAGGTCGGTACCCCATCACTGCTCCAAACGGTCTTGGTTAAAGAGGACAAGAACAGGGTCATGCACTTTGCTCTTTATGAAGTTAATCTTTCAAGACAGTTAGTTACCAGAAGATTACCCAACAATAATGTAGTTTTTTTATTTTTGGGTGGGGGACTTGCATGCTTGCCAAGCTAATCTAAGACCTCTTACGATTTCCTAAGAGAGACTCTCAATCAGAGTTTTTCAAATGAGTGCACCATCAACAAGGATGCTTGGTCCAGAGAACCGAGACACACAAGATAAATTACATTCAACCCAAACAAGTAAAAGTAGTGGCCAAAGTACCTTTCTGCAACTTCGAATTTGCCTGCTTTGTGACTCATGAGGAGATCTCAGGCATGATTTTTCAGGTTCACAACTTACTGAAGGAATATCACATCTATCAATATTTGATGGTTCAGAATGCCGGTCAGACTCGGTATCCAAAGATGGAACTGGGTGATCCTCCACCAGTGCTCCAGACACCACCACTGCTGAATTTTCTTCCACCGCAGAGTGGTCAAGTAGCTCAATCCCAAATAGCCTGCAGCCATTTGCCTGCCTCTTTTCACCAGTTTCTTTGTTGACAACAGGTGCAAAAGACTCCGCCATGCTCCCCACTTGGTTAGACCAAAACATCGATTTGCTGGAAACGGGAGGCAATGAATTGTTCTCACTGTAGTTATGAGAACTAGCTTTAGTACCAGAAGAGAAATTGGGAGATAAATAAAGGTCTCGGCCACGCGGTGGATCACGATATGAGAAAGCCGATGGGGAGTCAACTTGTTGAGATTTCCACATTCCTATTAGCACAAAGGCAAAATGCAGACTTAAATATGAAATGGATGTGCAACAAAGAGGTACAAGTCAAGATTTGTTATACCGAGCGCAGAAAGATCTTGCACTGGTGAAGGTAGAACTTGTGGTCGTGTACGCTTATTCCTTTGTGGCGGTTGGAGGTTTGAAGGAGATGCTGTCACAAGGGGATCTATTTCCCAAGGTGAAACTCTGTCTGGACGTAAAATTGAAGAAGGTTCATCCCATTGAACCTGAACACATGTATATCCTAATCACACATTAGATCTTAAATAAACTGAAATTCTACATCCGACAGGATAGCAATGCCAATCTCCACCCAAAACGACAGATATAATCATAAAAAAGTCTATAAACCAAACAACTTAATTTGACACAGATTCTGGTGCTAAAGTAACCATCTCAAAACCTAAAACAACTTTGTGACCTAATTCCAATCGATGATATTTCCACAGAAACCAGAATATGATGTAAGCAGTCTTCTTTTAGAAATCTCCACTTAATATAGATATGAGTACAACTTCGGCCATAAGATTAATTAAGAGTTAAGACTCTGGCTGGAAATGAATAGAACATTAAGTGTCTGTGGCAACCTAAAACAAGGTTTCTTGTACAATATAATTCACGAAGTTGCAGACGCACGCTCCAACACACAAACATTACACGTGGACTCGGAATTTCCATGTGCGACGCTCATTTTGGCTGCAAAATCAACAGCAACCCATAAACATTTCAAACTGTCTTGAAAAAAATTCTTTCATTCAAAAAGATATTAAAATGCAGTTGATCTCAAATAATCCAATTACCCTGATTTTATGAGACAACTCTAGACTTTTTATAAGTTGGGTACAAAATTCAATTCCCAGGTTTATGCTATCAATTCTAAGGGGTTCTCAAAAACTTAGTTTTTTCTTGCTAGAAGAATTTTATTATGCAAGAGAATCGAAAGTTCTCAAAAACCGGTACTTGCATGACTTTAAAAGTCACATTGTTTAAAGTTTACATAAAGCAAGTAGTCAAATGCAACACCTAAGTTCCCATAGGTATTTCCAGCAACAAACTTGAAAAGTTGTGAGGAAATCATCCCAGAAGAATTAAAACTTGCATGAGCGGATCTTTCTTAGTTTTTCCAAGGATTCATAACATATGAAGCAAACTCAAGTTAAATTCCAAGCTAGACAAAACATAGGAAGACTTAATTAACAATTCCTCAGAAGATACCTAAAAGTTTGATAACAAATACAATCAACTGGATTTCCTGTTGGATAAATGTAAATCAACTGGATTAGTCATTCATATCTTGATATCTTCTATAATGTCCTCCTTTGTTTTCATAGTTCTTGAGTGCTCATTTGGATATTCCATGCGAATAGAACCATTAGATTAATTTTTCTTTAGCAAGTGATGGCAGAAATCCATACTCCGGAAAAAAAAAAAGCAAGGAAATGAAGCATTTCATAATTTCCTAAAAATTCTCATCTTAAACATAAAATATTCCAGAATTTCACTACAGGGCAACATCCATCACAGCATCAACATATCATTCTAAAGTTCATAACCATTATCAGCTTAATCCAAGGAAATGTATGCACCTTTAAGGATCTCCATTCAGAATCAGGCCATCTTGATGACAAATTATCACCAGCACCAACAATTGTTCCACTGAACCTGTATAAACATGCAAAATGTCCAGTTAATAAATATTTCCAAGCTTTTCAACCAACAAAACAATGGACCAGCTAGACAAATACCTTCTTTCAGGAACTTCCTCACCCTCAAATCTCATCTTAAACCTCATCCCAACAGAAAGCTTGTGACTTTGAGCTTCAAGGTACTTGTTGACATTTACAATGAACTCCGATCGACTTGTTCTAGCCACATAATGATTTTTCTCAATAAATTATACAGAAAGAGGGAATATAGAGAACATAAAATTCCCAATTATGTCCTACTTTTTCCACTAAAAACCATTTATTCCTATCCAATTTCCATTAGGACTTTGTCTTACTCTTTGTAATTTGTCCCAAATTCGTTCAAAACTCAATAACAGGCTTTATGCCAAATTTGTCAGTTCTTTAGGCATCAATACACTTTTACTTCAATTTCTGTAACCAATTTGCAATCAAATAGTTTTGGTAGTAACTGTAAGACTTGTTTGAAATAGTGTTTAAAAAGTAGGGCTCAACTCTCCCGATAGAAATATGATAGTACTGGATGGCTGAATAGTGAGAAAAAGAGGATTTATCGGGAATTTTCCCCATAAAGAATGCAGTCACGACAAGATAGAAATACTTTTTGTTTGTCTCCTGTAAGAGTACCATTCTGACAAATATCATAAGGAGGATAAAAGGTAAAAGCAACTTGAGTAACTTCATCCGAAAAAAAATATATTAACTAACTAATTACCAATCAAAAAACCAACCAAACAATTAAAACAGTCTTGAGTCAACACAAGGAAATCTTAGATATTTCAATTCCAAATCAAAAAATGAATTTAGGAAAAAGAGAAGATTAACCACACTGAACAGTCAAAAGAAAAAGAAAAATAAGTTCTCCCATTTGGGACCAGGAATGTGAGGTTAACATGTCATTCATACCAAAGGATAACATAGTATGCATGATAGAACCAATACTGATTCCCAATACATGAAAATATGTGCCCACTTACAACAAAAGATAAATTTCTTCAAAATAAGAAATCCACGAATGCTTTAGAGTCAAAGATAAGATGCTATATGATGTTCATAAAGCTAAGACACAGCAAAACTATACAAACAAGATGAAATCAGGGGAAATAAATTGATTTTTCCCTGAAAAATTAAGAAAAGGAGAACCTCGGTTAATAATAGTAAACTAAAGTGAGGGTACCAGTTGCGATAGCATGAGATGCAGTAGCAAGAACACCGAGATGCAAACAAGATAAAATCAAGGGAAACAAATTCATCTTTACATGAAATTTAAGCAAAAGAGAACCTTGGTTTATAGTAAACCGAAAAGAGGGTTCCAGTCGCGATGGCATGCGATGCAGTGGCAAGAACGCCAAGATGCATGCTGTGGCTAGATATAACCGAAGATGGCATATTGTTTAGTTGCCTCATAAGCCTCCGCACACCAACACGTAGTTCCCCATTTTCGCCCCTGCAACAGATATACAAGGCAATACTAATTGTGAGCAATCGACTAAAAAATTTGGGAAAAAAATTTGCTCCAACAGACTTTATAATACTTGCCTTAGGAAAATGAATGCATCGCCTGCCACTAGTTTTTTTGCACTAACAAAGACACTCCACCCAGTTGTGAGTAAATGGCGTCTTGGTTGCCCTGCAAGTGATGTATCAATAAAAGAATGTTGAAAAGATATACAACTACTGAAAATAAAATGCAGTCGAGATTTGGCGCCATTGAAACCAGAATCCTAAAATGCCAATCCACAAAAAAAGAATTGAGCATTGATGTCACAAGACAGCTACATCACGAGGTCTTAAACTAAAAAGTTTCAATCAAAAAATCCCTATTTTAGTAGATGAAGAAAGCATAATGGCAGAAGGATGGCATCATCGCGAAGAGAGAAATACAGGGGAAGTAACATAAAAGGGGACAACCCACTTTAATGAACAGGACATTCAAGGCAGAAACTAACTTCAACTGATATTCTCATGAAATGAATCCAAAGATAGAGGCCCTCTTTCACAAGGAAGTCAACCCCCCACTCAAAAGTGCTGCTATCTTGAGAAACAACAATCTAAAACAGTGACTACATACTGACATATAAAGCATCTCCAACTACCCAAGGAGGGATAATCTTCCTGTGGATTACAACAGCAAAAATTCATCTAACATAACTATACCCACTGTACAAGATTCTTGGTTTTGTTAAAATCCCAACGGAGAAGTAACAGATTATTAGATGGAGATATCCTGACCAAATTTTTTTTTAAAAATTATTCTCTGCAAATTTTGGTGCCCATCAGAAGCAGTTTACTGAAATATTAAGATTCTGAGCCGCAAGCTAACTACCAGCACAAATTCCCACATCCATCCAGAAACACAATCATAGATTCCCTATACTGCCCAATGTTTCCACACATACGGGTGTGGCACCTATAGTCTTTTTGAAAAAAACTGATTAGAAGTGCTACTTCCAACTAGAATAAACTTCCAGGAACAGAAAGACAATTCCCAAAACATTACAAAGACTCTAAATGCATGCAGAACTTTGTTTTGCCTGACTGGGATGTCTAGAATAGACATTTATCCACCCAGTTTCCAACTTGGAAAGATTGCAACTCTCCAGCCCAATCATGAATATTTACAATATCAAACAAGTCCACGAGTGGAATTCTAACCTCGAAAGATGTGACGGAAATGCCACTCATTTCCATGAAGATCAGTCGCAACTAATTCCTGCCAGGGTGGTTGTTGGGACATATCCTGAACAAAGCTGAAAGTTAAAGCCAGGCAGGCAAAAAACTAGGGAAAGAAGGAAGATGTGACTACATTAGATATGATTTTAAAGCTTACCAGTGGAGGCAAACAATCGTCTGCATGCCTTCGAAGAACAGAGAAACCACCATGGGTGCTCGTGTCAGAAGCAGTTAATGTCTTGCAAAATGAATGGACAGTGCACCTTTGAGGTTCTGGGAGCGGAGGATCTGGACTTGTGACCTCCCCTTGCTGATCAAACGAGTAGAATAGGGACAAACAAGCATAAGAACCCAAAATAATATAAAAAAATACTACATTGAGTGGAAAGTTAACAGAGCAATTTATGAATTTACAACAAGATAAAGGGATAAAAAAACTAACATCTGCTTCAGGTAGCAAAGTTATCTGGGCATAGACTTCATCTGTTTCTGGTTCAGCCTGCAGTCCCATTGAACACTAAGTGAACCAAGAAAGAAAATGGCTGAAAATTTTCCTTTTTTGACCACATAAGAATCATGATAAGACTCACCCGAAGCTGAATATGCACCACTTTGCAAAGTATTTTAGCCGGTAAGTTGAACGAAGGAAGTTGTTGGTCTAATCCCTGCTGAGTCGATGCTTCAAGCTGTGAAAAGAACCAATATCCATAGGATAACCAAGCTAAACAATATGCTCAAACAAAGGGAAAATGACATCTGTGACCTCCGAGCGGTAATTAATGGTTCCAATCATCCTTGGGAGTTTAAATAAGCAGATCCCAGCTATGAATGCATAGTTTGTGAACTCGCATATCAGAATAAAGAGACAGATATCTACAACTCCGCCAATTTATAATCACAATGGATAACAAAGACATGCTATAACAGCAGCTATAATAGAAGACATACAAACAAGAAATATGGCATACACAATAGACATATGGCATGCACACTAGAAATACTTCATGCAAATTAAACATGCCCAAATATGGAAAAAAAAAAAAAAAACCGAAGTAGATCGACAGCAATTATCCTTCAAGTAAGTATAGCTACCAACTAAAAATATGGACTTACAAGTTCGAATTAGAATCAAAATTTTAAGGAAAACGAAGCATACCTGCTCCATGTGACCCTGAGGAAAGTAATAAACCCGTTCCCCTTCACGAGGAACCGTGACAACAGGTCCAGCACAGGCATTCCACAGTTCCTTGTACAAAGCATCATTTGAGGCCCCTAGAATGAAAGAGCATGTATAACTTACAATAAAGCGAGAGGAACAGAGAGAATTTTGTGACAAATATAAACACATAGACACTTGGTTACCAACAAAAAATAATCACAAGACAATGATAAAATTCAAAGCAAATAAAGGATGTATACCTGGATGGGACACTCCAGGGATATGAGTCGCGGAAAGGAATGCCATGGGAAAACCCACCCTCAAAGCTTCAGTATGTATACGATTAAGTCCCCCAAGCCCAAATTATTGAAGGCAACTGCTTCTCTATTCAAGGATGTTACCGGGTTGAAGGAGAGAAAGACATACCAAACTAATAAAACCCAATAGCAATCAATATCCAATGAATAGAAACTCCACGATATAACGGAATCTATTGAAACAAATTGATAGCTTCTTGCACAGCTAATTAAAGCCCTCAATTACTCGAGAGCGCATGTGTTTATTATCTCTGGTTTGTGGGGTGGCCTTAAATGCAGCAAAAAAAAAAGTTAGTTTAGAGGGCTTTTAACGGACAGGCCAAGACACAAATCAGCCTAAAAGCATGGAACCTTAAGCATAATTCATATGCTCCCAAAATCACGTAGCTTTAAGCTTAAATTCGGGATAAATTTCTCTGCTAAAGCGAGAAAGATCACATGTTCGTTACACTTCCAATAAAAAGTAAAAACTTTTCAACAAATAGAAGTACACTGAACAACACCACATCATAAAAATCATAATTAGATCAGATACATGAACCCTCCCTATATGCACATATATGTGTGTGTGTGTGTGTGAGAGAGAGAGAGAGAGAGAATAGAATAGAATACATCATAGAAATGCAAGAAGGATAGAAAGAAATTTCAGACAGAGGCAAGATTAAAAAGAAGTCAAATTTTGGTCTTTTTCATGTTCACAGATCCGAGATCGGACCTTCACAATTGTACAATCAAAAGCCTGGAAGAGAAGCGTATATGTATGTATGTATGTGTACGTGTGTGTGTATATATATATATATAAACACACATGTAAATGCGTATCGAAACAAATAGACGCCCAAGCTTGATGAACAATCGAAAAGAAGCCAAATCAAACCGAAAACCCTCATTAAAAACCAACTAAACAGTAACAGAACAGTACCTACTGGTTATAAGAGATTTGACTATCCCCTAGAACGATCCGCCATTTCCATATCCATTTCAATCAAAAAGAAGCTCCAGAGATAGCTCCCAAACAAAACCTTAACTAAAAAAGAGAGCTGGATCAATATGTCAGTGTGTACTGGTAATAATTAGGGTTTCGGAAAGAGTAAAGATAAAGATGGAGAGAGAGAGAGAGAGAGAGGTGATGGTCTTTGCCTGGTTGAAGCCGACACGACCCGAGCAAGTTTTTTACATTGTAAAATGTAATAAAAGTCCTCTCTCTCGGTCTTTCTACTTTGTGTCTCTATATCTATAGGTTGCATGTGTCTCTCTCTCTCTCTCTCCCCCTTGGGCGGCATGGGTTTGTTTGTTTCCTTTTTATTTCTCTCTGTAGTCTAGGTTGAATAGTAGAGTGGGGTTGTCAAAGAGAATAGACTTTAAAATGGTGCGTAACGCGCACATATCCCAGGTCGAGGGTGCCAATAATATGTGATAGATAAATAAATATAATATATTTATAACTTCGTCTATTTAAAAACATTTATATAATGATAAAAAATTATCAAATAAGAAAAATTAAATGAAACTCTTTTCTACAAGAGCAAATTGAGTATATAAAACCTAAATCCTTAAAATTTTGTTGAGAATTAAAAAATTAATGTGGGTACTTAAAAGTCTTAATCTCTTATGAATGTAGTATATTGGGTGTGTTTTCATTAGGTATTATATCGAATAACTCCATTCATATCAAGAAATAAGTGGACCTCACATTTATCTAATTCAATATTTTACTTGTAGTATTGAATGATATAATAGTATAAATATTAAATTATTAAATAATTATAAAGATAAAAAGAAGATATTTATATATTTGAAATTCTTGAAAATAAAAATATCTTTTGTCCAAACACATCCTAACCGAATTATTTAAATCTATCAAATAAGAGTGTGTTTGTTTGAAGGATAAGTGGCATATTAGGAGGTGGAAAAGAAACATGAGGTTCGATTATACGTTGTTTTGTTTAACAGTTTAACATCAGTACAAATATTCGAATCTTATTCATGACCCGATTGCTATAGTGGTTGTAAGCCCATATAAATGGCTATATCTAAAACAACCTAAAAGGTGGTATTATTCGGCAAGTTAAGGTCCATCGACAGTATAAAAATCCCTAAATCACTATAGAGTAAATTACATTCATCTCCCCTGAGCATTGGTCAAATAACAACTAGACCCCTTCTTGTTTGGGAAATAACACCGCACTCCCTTGTCAGTAACGTCCATCCCATTTTAAGGACATAATTTGTTAAATGACTATAATAGCCTTTAGTCCCTTTTTTATTTTTTGTAAAAATTCCTCTTCTCCATTCATTTTATCACCATTCATATTCTCTCTTTATTTTGTCGTCCAACCTCCATGAGAACTACCACAACCAACCACTAGCTTATCACCCACCACCATCGTCCAACCTACTTCTCGGTCACCACTACCACCACCACCCTACCTATTTCTCCACCACCATCACCACAGGTGCACAAACACAATTGCACAACATCAAACCCATTTCACAACATGCGTATATGTACATAAGGGAAGGGGAGGGGGGAAGCTACCTGCACATTAACTCGAAGAAATCTTCCCAATTTACTTACATAGCTATTTTTCAATTTAAATTCCACACAAAATCAGTCAAATTCAATTAAGTGGAAGATACGGGGTTGTCGCCTTCACGTTCGATGTGCTAGATGAAGTTGCAGAGGTGGGGTATTCGTCTTTGTCTTTTGCCTTTGTTGTCACCCTCACCATCTTCATCCATTGTGCTGATGGATCCAAGGTGAGTGGTGGCTAGCTTCGATCATCGTCGTTGAACAAATCTCCAACCAGTTCCACAAAAATTACTGACAAACCCTTGTCACCTAACACTACCATCCACCATCAACATTATCACCGTGAGCCCCCAATCAAAATAGTGGATCTGCCACCCAACACCCCCAATCGTAACAGTCGTTTAGATTGACTGATATTATATATATAGAGTGAGAGATAGATGATGATGATGAAATGGGTTATGCCTATGGATGTAGAGTAGATAGAGAGATGGGAGAGGGGGGTGGAGGGGAGGCGTGGAGAGTAGGGGTTAAAGGTGGGTGCCATGGAGGGGCTGAACTTGTTTGGCAACAAATTTAAATGTATGTAGTATCTAGAAGGTTAGAATTGATATTTTAAAATTATAGATTGCTTATATTACCAAACTGTTAACGAATTCTTGATGGGAGACTCACGGTAGGGGGAATATGTTATTGACAACTAAAGCAAAAGGGAGTGCAGTGTTATTTCTCAAACAAGATGGGGCTTAGTTGCTATTTGATCAAACCTCAGGGGAGGTACATGTAATTTACCCATCACTATAATATCCCTTCCCATCTATAGAATGGATTGCATTAGGTGTAAATAGGACTATTTGTAATATGAGATGTGACATAATTAATATTTTTTAGTGGGTCTCATGATAAAACATATTATTCAAACAAACATGAGATGAGATTATCAATAGAATGGATTGTATTAGGTGTAAATAGGACTATTTGTAATATGAGATGTGACATAATTGATATTTTTTAGTGGGTCTCACAATAAAACATATTACTCAAACAAACATGAGATGAGATTATTTTAAGCTCGGTAATAACTTCTCTCCGTATTGGAAGTATATGAAATATATTAGTCAATCCCATGAATACCAATATTTAAGTTTAAATGTACTATTCATCCGGGCCTAAAGTGCGTATCTAAACATAAGAGTAAAAAAAATAAGAAGGGACCAAGTATTATTTTGTCTAATACTCTTTCATAATGCTTAAACCAAAAACACCCATAAAATATTAAATACTACTGACGCGACTTTTTTTTTTTAAATCTATTTAATCTCAGTTGAGAGTACTCTTGAGATTTGTCAACCTTGGTATTAAAACTAATATTTCGAGCAATTGGGAACAATGATTTTGAATTTCAGAATCTGTGATCTTACACACAATCAAATTCCCACTTTGTGTGCATTTAATCCAAAAATAAATAAACAACATTGAAAGCGTGTGATTGAAGGTTGAATATGACAATTTGTCAATTCCAAGTTTTGTTTTGTTATACAGATCATAGGAATCATGAAACGATACACATTTATGCTAAAAGTCATTTAATAAACAGGTGGAGTTAGAAATTTAGCTTGTTTATAATATATATTAGAAGTAACTCGTATTTGAAGGTATGATTCATTCAGAATGGTTTTGAAAAGGATATTGGTGGCCGTTGGATGAGTTTATTTGAGACTGTCAGATGAGTTTATTGAAACATGTCATATTTTATATTATAGGTATCATGTATTCAAAATATATAACAAATTGAAAAAATATACGACATACCTTATTTGAGTATGAATAAATAAGTTGAGTATTAATAATGACTTGTTGACTTATAAGCCTCTTTAATCTATACATATACATTATTCATTTTTTACGAGAACAAGTACATTTGGTACACTTTTAAGGATTATATACTTGTATATATATATTACTAAAACAAGCTAAAATAATAATCTTGAGCAAAGATATAATTTCAAGTACAAACTAGAGCTTGGTTCGATTAATGAGAGGAATCAAGTCACGTTGCATTCAGGCTGTGATAGAAATTTAGTAAGTCCGAATGAATATTGTATTTCACTTGANATGAGATGTGACATAATTAATATTTTTTAGTGGGTCTCATGATAAAACATATTATTCAAACAAACATGAGATGAGATTATCAATAGAATGGATTGTATTAGGTGTAAATAGGACTATTTGTAATATGAGATGTGACATAATTGATATTTTTTAGTGGGTCTCACAATAAAACATATTACTCAAACAAACATGAGATGAGATTATTTTAAGCTCGGTAATAACTTCTCTCCGTATTGGAAGTATATGAAATATATTAGTCAATCCCATGAATACCAATATTTAAGTTTAAATGTACTATTCATCCGGGCCTAAAGTGCGTATCTAAACATAAGAGTAAAAAA